GTAAAAATACTAGCAAAAACTGTAAATTATAGAAATTTTCAGTAGCAAAATGGAAATTAAATCAAAGAAATAAGTGGATAGGTGTATAATAAAAAGAAAAAACAATTTTTGTAATAAAAATAGTAATACTGGAAATAATAGACATCAGAAAATTGAAAGGTTTTAAATAATAAATTATTTTATTTTACGATATTCTTCAACATCCCTTAAATCTTAAATGTTTAGCAATGATTAGATTTCTGCCTTTGATTATTATATATGGCTGAAATGCAATCATGTGACTTATTGATAGAAAACCAGTTTTAATCATAAATTTCTATGGATTATTTCGAACTAAAAATGAAGAAAATATAAATTACAATCGCAAATATACCAATTATTTTTGTTAATACGTTTTGATTCTACGTTATTATATGATGGTAATGTTTTTATTTTGACATTATTTAACATATTCTTCAATGACAACTTATTAGGCTTAGGCAACATCTTATACATTTTCTCGTAAATACCTGTCTATGTTTTATTATTGATTTTTATTGATTATACTACTTTTTTTTAGCTGAAGTAATAAAAATATATAATAATAATAATAAATAAATTTTTTCACTTGTTTACAAATCCATATACTTTTATTAAAATCAACAAATATATTTTTTAATTACTAATTCTATTAAAAATTGTATTGTCAGTATACGCAAATATCGTCTTTAGTTCATAAAATAGTTGACGCTGCTGTCACGCACGGAACGAATAATAAACGAAAATAGGCTGACTGGGCTATGCATGATGAGCGTACGTCGAAAAATAATCGGAGAAAACAAAAAAGAAATGATGTTTTCTGTTATCGATGTTTTTGGTAGAGAAAAAAGAAATCTTAAATTTGCGTTTTCCTAGTGTTTTTTTTTGTGTTCGTCGACGTGTTTAAATGAGTTTTTTATGTTTTTGTGTTTTTATAAATTTTTATTTTTTATTATGTATGACTGTGTCTTCTTCGTATTTTTCTTTTATATCACACCTTCTGTTTGTTTTTTTTTTTTTTAATGTGTTTTAAGTTTGTTTTTTTATTTTAGTTTTTGTCATGTTTTCTTGGGTTATTTTATTTATTAGAGACTTGTTGATTTGTATTGCTCTTTTATTTTTCATTTTCTTTGTTTTCCAGCAAATAAACATTCTATTTTTTTTCAAAACGTTGCCCCTCCCTATAGAATTGTGTAATGACGCCCATGAAAATAAGGATAACAATTCATTTTTATCGAGGGATAAAATTATATCAGTGACAGCAGGCAAGGCTGTTGCACAAATATAACCAGCTTTAAATCCAGACTGATGAGAAGGTAAAACATTGATAATCTTAATTTCCTCTTCTGTGTTTGTTTTCAACAAAATGAAACAACTACTGTTTTTCATAAATTTTTAAAAATAGATTATCCGTTCCTCTAATCTGGTACTGATGGCCCATGTTTATTTACACGTCTGGAAAACCAAAAAATAAAACAATTTAAGTTAGAGAGAACATTTTTGATTTAATTTAATTTAATTTTCTTTTGTTTCTGTCACGTCAGATCCATACGTTGGTTAAAGTTACTTAAAACCCTATTACAACTACGAAGAAATTCGCAAAAGTTCGCATTTATTCCGGAAATTAAGTCACGCATACGTGAAATTTGGGTGAAGAAGTTTTCTTGTTATGGATTTATACCAATTAAAACTTTTAATAGACTTTTAATGGACGTCAATTCAGGGTTAAATCATAAAAATCTTTTCTTAAAGTAAACATATAAAGATATTTGGATCGATTCTTTTTAATCTTGTTATGAAACTTGCTACAATAACCATATTATTACGAATATTAAGTTATAATATGGTTGTTTAAATTCGTATTCTGTTTTAATTGGATAGCTATTGGTTATCAGTTTTGTTCATAGCGATATTGTTACGACGGTGAGATAAATGACCTGTTTTAGAGCTGACAACACTGCAAATCTAAGATTATTATTTTTCTAGTTTTTTTAATATAAAAGGTATTCGTTTTCAATAAAGAACAATACTAAAATGCCACCGATGCTGCTTCAAAGTAGAAAAAAAAGTTTAATATATTTCTCACTAGCTAAAATGGATTACTAGTATCTCTGATAAACTGCTGCTTCTGCTAGGAAGAGGAAGAAACTGTAGTAGTCATTATGTTACTACAAACGTCTTTCAAGACTGAAATTTTTTTCGGAGTTCCCTCACAGTCCTAATTAAATCTATTTTAATCCCTGGTAGTTTGTAGGTAACTATCTACAACAGAGTAAATACATTCACTAAAAATATGTACCTAGTCGCTATATTTTATTATGTAAAAAATGTAAATAACGAAATAATGGTTGTCATTTTTAAATGTTAACCACCTTGTTATCCGGCTAACAAATACAAGATCAATGAAGTAGGCCCCCCAATATTATTTAAATAAAAACTATTGCACTAGAATGCACTAGTGATACACCAATATGCCCCACTAATTATTTTTTTTGCAATATTTTCCTTGAGAAAATACAGCTATTTCGATGGGGATGGAGCAAATAAACGCTGCTTCCCTTTCCAGAATTTTTTTATAATACACCAGTTAGCCTTGGTAATGCACTATATGATACACCACTTATACTACTTTTTGCACCCCCTCCCTTCAGTAGTTATAGTAATTTCTTTACCGTGAAGTTATTCCCCCCAATGAAGTTTTCGCAAAAAAATATTGCACCGGTATGCACTCCTGATGCACTCATATGCGCCACCAATAAAACCTTTTGCACCTCTTCTCTTTAGTAGTTATAGTTGTTTCTTTACCGTGAAGTTAGCCTCCCAATGAAGTTTTCACAAAAAAAAAATATATTGCACCGGTATCCACTCCTGATGCACTCATATGCACCACTAATAAAACTGTTTGCACCACCTCCCTTTAGTAGTTATAGCTGTTTCTTTACCGTGTAATTAGCCCCACCCAATATTTTCGGAAAAAAATATTGCACTCATATGCACCATCAATAAAAAATTTTGCGTCTAGGTATAGAAATTTATTTACCGCGAAGGTATTCCCCAATGTTGTCACAAAAAAATGCACCGGTCTGCACTCATATGCACGACCAATACATTTTTTTGCATCCCCTTCCTTTAGCACTTACATACAGCAATTTTTTTACCGTGATGTTTGCCCAACTTTTGATGTTTTCGCAAAAAAAATATTGCACCGATAGGCACTCCTTGTGCACTGCCAATAAAACTATTTGCACCTCCCTCCCTTTAGTAGTTATAGCCGTTTTTTACCGTGAAGTTAATCTCTCCCAATCATATTTGACCAAAAAAAAAAATATTGCACCGATATTTATACATCATTTACTCATTTTTAGCCCTAAATAAATGTTGGCCCCTTCGTACGAAGATGCACATTTTTTGCATCTCTTAATTTCAAACCAAATATAAATGACGGAGTAACTCCGTCCGTCCAAAATGAAGCGTGATGTCCCTAGCTGTACAATGCGTCCCAAATTTTTTGCTAGTACCTAAAACCCTTCAAATGCATTGAAATTGGGACATATTTACATATTGTATTGGTATTTTTTTTATCCATGTCATTTACATTTTATTTGTAAAAATTATAGTTTTATTAATTTGTAATGTTCATTGAATTATTATTTTTTTTTAATTGTTAGCCATAATTGTAGTTTTTTGCCACTTTTCTTGTAAGTTTACCACCTTTCCTTTCTATCTTTTTTGAATCTCAATCTCTTTCAAATTCCTTGTTACTGTCTGCTTCTAGCCAGCCATTAGGGGATTTTTCGAGTTTAGGTTGTTGGGACATGTTCAGCTTAGTAAGAGAGATATTTCAAAAAAAGAGATGGGCATTATTAAAGGTTATCAGATGTATGTAAATATTTCTTAATAAATTGTAACAACGAATTAGATGTTTTGTTTTTATTTTTTTTATGTGTTTTAAAGTCAGCAATGTTAAAACAGCGTTCGAAAATATGCGGTTTGCTAAACGATTATATTTGGCAATATGTCAAAATTTATTAGATTTAAAGTGTCGTCTAAAAATAGCCGCATTGAAACGTTTTTTTTTTCTTCTTCTACGTCCCAAGTATATTAAAAATGTTCATATGCATTTTTCTAAATTACCTAATTACTTAATTTATAACATTTCAATCTAATTTTTATTATGTCTTTCAATTACATTTACAAATTTTAGACAACTTCAAATATTTCTTTCAAATTTTATTTCAAATAATTCAAATTGAAGTTAAATTTTGTCACTGTTAATAATTTAAAAAATAAACGAATGTGACAGTTAGCATTTACTGTCCAATAAAAAAATTTCATCCAGCTTTAATCAAAAACTTATTTGAAAATATATTTTTTATTAAACTGAAAGATTTGATGTGTACACACTGAATGATATATGAAGGAAGATATGTATTTTTAATTATTAATAAATCTGTCATATTAAAAAGTTAACTAAATTTTCCTTCATATTTATTGACTTAAATATGCCTGCGTCATATTAATGTTTACGTATTTAAATGATGTAATATAAAAACATACACAAACATATCTCTTTATAAAAAATATTCCTTTTGTTATTTTATTACGAAAACTATCATATTCTGTTAATAATTTTATGTTTATTAAGATTCGCCTTTTTGGGAGTGTAAAGCTGAAGAAAACTTATTTAGAAAAAAATATTAGATACTTAGAAAATAAATATAACATATATTATAGTTCTAGAAAAATGTAAACCTGCATCCTGTGCCTATTATTGTGGTCTAGTAATTTTTAATAAAGTTTTGTGAATTCTTGTTGTTGAGCTGGTTCACGTAAGGGTTGAAATAGAAGAGCCATTAATTTATATTGGGAAATTATGTTACTGTGTTGAAAAATATAAAAATATTTGTTTTTAGTGTAAATTTGGAAGAAAATGGTAAAAACGAAGAAGAGCTGCAGTTGAACATTCAACAATTGTAGCTCACCTTTCTAAAACAGGCATAGTTTTAGACGTCAGTTCATAAAACTCCTTATTTTTCGGTGTTCCTAACAAATCGTCAAAATCTATAGCACTTTCTATATCAAAATCCTCAGAAAGAAGCGCAGAAAGATCATATCCTATGTCGATTCCAGATTCGGCCATGTTTTTTAACACAGTTTTGTCACAGCTCATTAAATTTTCGAAAAAGCTTTTGACGCCTCATCGTGCCGGCGCTACGCACAATGTAACTGATTTTTTTTTGTTTGTTTTTTTTATGTTCAGACGGCAGCGCAATGTCAGGGCCAAGTGAAGCAGTAGCAGGAGCCGTAGCAGCAGCAGGCAGCGACGCTCGGGCTGAACATCCGCACTTAAGTCGGTTTTTGAAATGGCGAAGCGAAACTACAGATCGCGACGTCGAACACACGGATTCATCTCGAAATACGCGACGACTGAACTGCGCGCCGCCAGACGATATCTTCAAAATCTTGGCATTATTTTCAATTATTTCCTTTGAAAATTTCCACGTTAATACTTTGTCCAAAATAAACAAATCTGTGACACACGTAAATATACTAATCAAAATTTGCATTATATGTTGAAATATTCGGTAATGTTTCAATCCGTGCATTACACATTACTATCAGTTTTTCACTTACACGTAAGTGACTTGCTAGGAATCTGACTTTGCGAAAGTGTGCAAGACATCAGTCGAAAATATATTTAATAATATTTCAATTGATCATCATCTCGACCTTTTTCCTATTGTCACTTTCATCACTCCCGAATCCCAAATACTTGAATGTTTCGACACAAATTCTAATTAATTCAGGGGCGTGCGGTCCATGGAAGCGGGGGAAGCACTTTGAGATTTAAAAATAAATATTTTTCAGTTTACAATGCATAGAAATTAATATTAAATTAAATACTATATTTTCTCTGAAACATTACGTAAACTTCTTAAATGTACTAACAATTCATTGGTGTAATGTGTAAACGCACGCACCACCCATGAGAAAATTAATTTAGTAAACGCACACACCATATAGGTACTTCAAGTCCGTTGGCGGAAGCGCTTCTTGAAAAAGCCGGCTGATCTTCCAATTGATTTAGCTTCGTGTTATTGGCCCTGTTTTTTTTACGTCGCCTTACGCATATTGAAATTCGCACCGCGAATTGACGTGTGAGGAAAGTCATAAACTACAGATAGATTTCGGTTTGTTTTTCATAGTTGTTTTTCTTTTTGTAAAATGGAGGAACTATGCACTGTGCCTGTGAACAATAATAATGTGGTAAATTGTGTCTGTATTGTGTCTTTATTGAAAAAAGGATTTTCAAGTAGAAATTTTGAAGAGAAAACGGACATTATTAATTCTAGTGGACTAAAGGATCCTATCAATTTGGAGACGAAAGTAGAAAAGTCAGCAAAGAAATGTACCAGGCATTTTCACGTAGGGTTCTATGAAAAGTATGAATGGTTAACCAGCTGCAAAACTTTGAAGAAATTATTGCTGGCCTACTTTTTAATATAGCCGAAAAAACACATTGGAACTAAGTCGGTATTACAGATTTGAATAATTTTCACAAAAGTGTAAAACAACATGTAAATAGCAAATCTCATATAAGTGCTACAATTAAAGAAAAAACATTCGGGACCTATCGCATAATAAAGAAACATGGGGTGCTGAAACTGTAACTGCCGCTACAGGGTATTAGCATTGGCTCAAACAAAACATTTTTTGCTCAACATTTTTGCAGAGATTTTCCATTTTACTTATATTTTATTCGACATTTTACAGACAAAGTCAAATGACATTGGCTTTTGCATTAAACAAATTGATTATTTTAAAAATAAAATGAATAAAAAACGAGATCTTTTTGGAATAAGACTCAAAACATTGGCTTAGAACCTGAAAGAAAGAGTATTAGAATTGATAATGTCGGCGAAAGAGAGACCTCCTATCGTCGACTATACGCCGAAATTTTTGATAATATTTTACAACAAATGAATTCCCAATTTCAAAACTTTAGCGAATTTAAATTTGTTGAATTGTACATTTTTAATATTAGTAACTACGATTCATCAAAATTTCCATCGGAAGATTTTAATTCACTAAAATTAAATTAGGGAAATTTTTTCTATATTCCAGCAATAAAGTCCCAGTTAAGTGTTGTTTATGAAACAACTGAAATTAGTGATAAAAAGACGCCCATCAATGTATTAAATTTTCTTATAGCAACACGCTTCGTATAAATTCATATTTTTCCTAATTTTAATTATTTAAATAATATCCTGTACATAAAACTTTGTTTAAGTATGTCGACAATTTGTTTTGAATCGCAATAATGTGCAAGGTTGGTTATTTCAATCCACTGGTGGACGTTGTATTTTTGCCACCAAATACTACCAGCTTGTTTCAACCAATGGACCAGGAAGTCATTAAAACATTTAAAGGTTACTACATAAGGCGATCATTTGCACATCTAAATGAAGCTATGAGATAAAATAACGAGCTTTTTGTCAAAGACTTTTGGAAGCAATTCAATGTTTTAGATGCTGTAAGAATCCCGACTTACGCGAATTCAACTAACACGGCTATCGCTTGGTCCCACCTATCACGTAAGTCCGGGGTATTACTGTATCTCAGTGGGTTCACGCGATCGTAAGTCTGTATGCACTCATGGTTCTAGTTCTAAGTGCTCTTATAGGTATAACAAAGGCATACACGCATTTGAACTGATATTTTCGAATTCACAAAAGTTGATTTATTTAAATTATTGTAGACTAATAAACTTTTCTGTCTAAAAATTGGTTGGTCAAAATGTAAAGGATGCCATATGTTTAAAACATAATATTCGACAAAGTTGTCGATAGGTCCTCATAAATGGGTTCGTGTGAAATACTTTGCTGGACTAGAGAATTTTTCTGCATATACATATTTGCTGAATTATTTATTGAAAATGTTAGTTATTACATATTAATATTTGTATTGCATAAAAACTGCATTTCAATTTAGGCACATTTTTTTGCATCTGTGAATATTTATTTATAGTTAAAGAAGGAGCAGAATATTTTGTAATTGATATTTGAAAGATTTAAAAAGTTATCTCGATTTGTTGATAATATTAATGTCAGTGACGTAAAGAGCTTAAAAAGAGATTTGGAAGCATGTATTAGATATTTCCGCTAATTCTTTTAAATCAATTGTTTAATTCGCAACTTGATTGATTGCTTGCTTGCATTCCAAAAATGTGTTGTTTCTAAAGCAATTTGGTTGGTTACTTATTTACTTTTTAAATCACTATTTTAAATAAAATATAATCTTGATAAATGAGGGCTTATTTATAAATATTATTAAAATAAAATATTGTCGAAATGGCAAATTACCCCATTCTAGGGATATTCTATAAACTATTAGCTGTTAGTTTCTTCGACGAAATTTCTTACATCACATTATATTTAATTTTAAACACTTATTATTATTGTTTTAGATAAAAAGAAATCAGATCGATTATAAGGCTACTAACTACTAACTTAATATAAACGTTTTTATACTGGGTGTTCAACTAATGGTATAACATTTTGCACTGTCCAGAAACTTTCTTTTCTCTAACTTTTTTCCATCTTAGGTCATTTATCAAAAAACACTATACGTATTGCGTCTTTGTCGAATTGCAATTTCTAGTTATACATTGAATTCCGTAAAAATGAATAACTGCATTTTTTGTTTTATTTTCTCACTATCAAACTCAGCCATGTTCCATAAGTATATGACATTTTATTATCGTTACTATAAACACATCATTACACAATAAAAAATAGTTTAGTCAGCGGTTTGTTATACCTGATAATATTTAGTTTAAAAAATATTTAAATTAAACACCACAAAAATCAGACATGAACTATTTTCTAAATTTATTGTTAGTTATTTTTTCAATTAAATGTAGCATTTCGTCACTTGATTATGACGATTTTCAACCATATATGGTGGGAAGTGATTTGGACAAAGAATGGGATGCATTTAAGGTATATTACAATAATTTAATTTTGCTGAATTTAACTGTCGCTTTGTTATATACCCATTTATTAGATTATTTTGAATTTTTCAAACAGTAATCAAGGCGTTTTTAATAACTAAACCACATACTTGCTGTTTAATTTCAAAATTTAAATGTATAAAGATCTAAAAGAGTGTTTCTTTTTTTAGAGAAAATTCAACAAGAGCTACTCGAATTACCACGACTACGCAAAAAGAAGAGCATGGGAGGACAATCTGGATAAAATAAGACAACATAATGAAGAAGCTGTACAAGGCAAGCATTCGTACTTCATCAGAGATAACCACCTATCAGACTTGGTAAGTAATACTTATCTTACCTTTATATTTTTCTAATCTAAACCTTTACTTTAAAATAATGAAACAAAAATTGACTATTCACTTTTATATTTTTTTTATTTATGTATTACTGTACAGTAGCCTTACAAATTATGTGTTTGATTGAATAACTCTAAAGGGTGCTGACTTAACTTAGCAAGCCTAAAAAAATTAAATATTTTTCAAAAAAGTTTCTTACAAAACCTTTTAAAAAAATAACTATTCCATTGACCTTAATAGAGTTTTCTTTTTAGAGTCAGGATTGCCGATACGCACTAACAACTTTAAGTAAAAACTGTTTTTGTTCTTCATCTTTTGTTACCAAATGACTATAATCAGTAATAAGTGTTATGCCTCGTTTGTCGTCCATGTTAATGGATCAGTTTGTAAGAAGCTCATATTAATATTAATATTAATATGAAAGCGCTGATAATTCTTTCACTATAAGATAAAATTCATCGCGAAGTAAAAATATTTTTAAACAATAAATGGCATTTTCTACGATCACTTTTCAAATTACGCTTTTGCGGAAAACTTGACAGCTTTTTTGATCGCCTAATTTAATTTAGATATAATATAATAATATTTCTTTTTAATAAATGCTTTTCAAGTTATTTTTACGTAGTTTGATGTTTTATTGTTAACATTGATTTTGAATATCAACTCCGTTTTTCATGATTAACTTAAATATAGGCAACACATTATACACTATTTATGACAAGTTTTCAGTTTTTATATATATTTCTTAAAATAATCTGATCGTAGAAAGTCTTGTGTGCATTTTGAGCCAAAAGTTCGTTGCTTGCCAACAAAAATGAACATCAGTCAATATCATCCAAAATATCATAATGTTATTATGATTGGACTTATTTTGTTTATTTTATTTTCACGAGTCCACCAATCTTCTATTAGTTTCTCGCGCTTGGATATACAGTTCCGCCACACTTCTGGAGTTGCAATTGAAAGTTCTTTTCGCCGAACTGCGTCACTATAACCATTAAGCCCAATATGGTTGTCAATATTGTTTTGCTATTCCCCATATATATTCGATGGGATTAAACTGGCAATGATACGGTGGCAAACGTAAAACTTGATGACCGTAACTTTCAATAATCTGATCCACAACAAAGATTTTTGGTTTTGCGTCTATATTTACCAAGCGTAATAATTCTGATTTTAATATATATTGAGGAAATGGTATATGTTCCTTTGTCAACCATTCTTTAATTTTATCAACAGTCCAAGAATTCGTTGGACTTTTGTTTAATACTTCAGAATGGTAAGGTGCATTTTCTAAAATAATTACGCTGGGCTCACTTAAACCTGGGAGAAGTTTTTCATGCAACCATTTTACAAACATTTCTGTGTTCATATTATCGTGATAGTCACTGGATTTTGATTTAGATGAAAATATTAAATCAGCACCTTCTATAAAACCCGATTTCCCTCCTGCATGTAAAATAATGTGTCGCTTTCCTTCTCCATCGGTATGTTTGATGGACTTTACGTTATCATCTTGCCATATTCTCTTGGTTGCACCCCTAGAAAATATCCATGTTTCGTCAAAATATATAAAATTCGCCCCTTCTTCTTTAAATTTAGTCCTTTCGATATCACAGCATCTGGATTGTTTCTACACGCTTTCCTACTTGGAATCACTAATTTGTAGGATTCTTCCATCAGTCTACTAATTGACTGAGAATGATTGGTGTGTCTTCATCATAATTTCTGCCTAGTAACTGCGTACACTCTTTAATCCTATATGATACCTCTCCTCCAAATTTTGTGTGAAGTGGGAGAAACATTAGGATCACCTCTAAGGTCTAAGGCCCTTGGAGCCATGCCATACACATGACATCTATCATACCAATGTAGGCATAATGAATCTTTTGGTATACCTACATGCTTATTTATTTTTAGTCCAATTACCAGTATTTGCAAAAAATGGTGAAGCTAACGAAGAGCAGGCACAGAAAAGTGGAAGCGGACATGGTGGGCGATCTGTACGAAAGACTGATGCACATCCCGGAATCTGTAAATTGGCTCGAAAAAGGATTTAAAACGCCGTATTACAATCAGAAAGACTGTGGTTCGTGTTATGCATTCAGCATAGCAGGCGCCATCCAGGCGCAAATCTTCAAACAGACCGAAAAACTGGTACCACTAAGGTAAATAATTACTCTAATTATTTATTGGATTCTAGATTCTTTATTTTCAAGGTTAATGATTTCTATTATATTTATTATATTTACTTAGTTCTTTTACTAGACTGTATTTGGTCAATTGCTAATTACTCCGCGTTTCATATTCCCACTCATTTTTTAATTTCTTAGATTTATTTTGATCGTAGTCTATTTCATGTTCTCTCTGCTAGTGTGTTAGTACTCATCCCATTGTCACGTTTTAAATTTTGTCTTGTCTAGCCTTCCAGACATATGACCATCTAGTCACGTTTAGTCTTCCAGTTCGCGTAGTATTTCCTGATTTTTTATTATCCTAACTTCATTTTTGGATATCTTTTTTGAACTTTATATTTTTCTTTCAGCATTTTTCTTTCGTTTTAAATTTTATCTTGTCCAGTTTTCCAGACATATGACCATCTAGTGACGTTGGTCTCCCACTTCACGTAGTATTTCCTGATGTTTATTCATTTTTGGATATCTTTTTTTACTTTATATTTTTCGTTCAGTCATTTTTCTTTGGCAACATTGGTTTTTGATAATTTTTTCTAATTTTGACATATAAAGTGACACATTTTGTAATCGCAGCAAGTGTCAAAATTATCTACTTTACGCAACCAGTTGCATAATGTTGAACAATATGAAAGTGGTTTCGAAAAATTCATTACGTCACCATTTCCGAAAAGAAAATGAATAAAATAAACCTTTTTTGGTTTTAAAATCAATAATAGGTATACGTTGTTATTATATCAAATAAAAATAGAGATTGGTTAAACTTACAATCTAGTAATAATGTTGTTTTGGTCCTTATTTTCCAGTACAAATCGGCACAAAATAAATAAAACAAAATACTCGACAAAATAGCCCACTTTTTAGTCGTTTAGAATAAATAATTAATAATGATGCATAGGCAACTAATAATACATTAAAGTAATATTGGTTGCCTGAATGTCAGTAATGTTTAACCAAAATACAATTTTAGTTCAATTTTAGTCAAAATTAGAAAAAATATTGTATGTAACACGTTACGAAATGTCGTTTTATGTAACTCGTTCATGTAATTACCATTAATAGGAAGGGTATTTTAATTTATCAATATTTTCAAACTAAATTATCTTATTTAATTTCTTCGCATGTGACTTTTAATGATGATACGTTGTGTCATGCAAACACAAAAATACAGAAACACAAAATCCATAAAAACGCAAAAACAACAAAACCCATAAACAAAAAATACAAAAAGGGCAAAAAACAAATACATAGAAAAATACAAAAAACAAAAACTAAGATACACAAAACACAAAAATACAAAACTACAAACAAATATTAAATTGAATTTAACCTTTTTTTTAGTGAACAGCAAATCGTTGACTGCAGTCTGTCGTATGGAAATTACGGATGTGCCGGAGGATCCTTGCGGAACACCTTGAGATACTTACAAAAAGTTGGAGGGCTCATGGCGTATAGTGATTATCCGTATAAATCAAAGGTAAATATTAGTTTTAGTAAAATAATTTTTTTAGTATATAATCTACCAAACCTGGTTTAACAGCTGGTCCCTGCAATTCGAAAATGTTAGTGGAAAAGCGAAATGTTTGACCAGCAATTGACCATGTTTGACAGCCCAGTAGCTTTTTTGACCACCTTCAGAAACAAAAATAATAAGAATGTTAAAGGACGAGCACTCGATGGCCCACGAAGATTTTTTTTAAATTGCATGCATTATAGATGTCTCGACGTTTGACCAACCCCTAAAATAATTTAAGGGGTGGTTAAACGCCTAAACATAATTTTAAGTATTTTGTGTGCTCTTCTGTTGATTGGCCTTTTTGTCCAAATCGAAAATCGATTTGGAAATTGTATTTTTCGAATTTTTACATACTGAGTATCCTTAACATAATTTTAAACCTTCGTAGATCTATTTCTATTGCATCTTATTCTTGACGATTGTCCATTTGTTTCCTTGTCGAAATTCAATTTAAAAATTGTATTTGTCAAATTTTTACCGTCTTTGGAATTTTTAGAATTATTTTAAGAGTTTTATGAAACGTTGACACATAAACCTTATTGGTAATTTACCGTTTTTAATATTTTTTGTTCCTGAAATTGATCAACGAAAATTAATGTGTGGTCAAATATGGTCAATCTGTGGTGAAACGCTTCTATCTTTTAAAACTAAAATTTTACGAATTTTGAATTCAGGTTCATACAGCTTAGTCCACTTGCATCTTTCAACTTTATCCATCTTGCTCTTACTCTATTCGTTTCGTATTTTTAGTTGCCTAACGAAAATGCGCATCGACAATTCTATTTTTAACGAAAATGTGGGCAACCAACATTACCAAATATCTAAATTGTCGTCCTTAATTAATTGGTATTTAGTTTTATCGTTCTTAATTAATTGATATTTAGTTTTATCAATCTCCTAGACCAGTCTTTCTCAATCTTTTGTAGAGCGAGGAACCTTGGAGCACATCTATTTTTTCTGAGGAGCCCTTAGCACCAAAATGTGAGATATTTAATTTTTTATCAAAACATGCTACTTTTATAGCTTTAAAATACATAATTATAATAAAATCAAAAGCAACTGTAAAAACAAAATAATTTATTAATGGTTCAAAAAAAAACACATACATTAGTCATTATTTATTTTTTTGTTTCACCTATAAGGCTTAGATGAAATTCTAAAATGGGATAACTGAGATTATTTTCGTGACACAAGTTTGTCAAAATCATCAGGTACAATGTTCGAAAGTTGTAGCTGCATGTCTGGTTCAGTATTGAGTTTATTTCTTTGGTCAGTTTTTGTAAGGGGATACTTAGGAAATCTTGCTTCACAACGGTAAGTTGTAGCACATGGTAGTAGTTTGTATATAGCACAATTATTGGCAATTTTTTTGGTATTCACATCTTACCTGGGTTCAAAACTGGAACAAACTAGCTCAACTAATTTGTAAGTTCCAATCAGCTTCTATATCAATAAGCTGTTTTACTGTTGGGAATTGAAATAAATTTTCGATTGTGACTGAGAATGGATTGCAGAGGCTCTAACTCCGCGTGTTGAAAAATATTATTTGAATGAACCCCCTCCCTGCAAAATCAAGGGATTCCTCAGAACTCAGGTTGAGAAACACTGTCCTAGACAGTAGTAGTGTACTATACTAAAGCGGGGACATATTGTACTGTTTCCGGTCATTTAAAATCAAAACGTTTTATAAAATTTAGAATAGCCAAGTATCCTAACCAACCCGACTGTATTTACTCTATAAAATCTTTCTAAAACTCTTATAATCTGATTGTAATTGAAGATTTTGGTGCAAAAGTCGCTTTTTTAATAACGTACATCTTGTTTTTGCATAAAAATCTGATGTGTCCAACACATGACTTTCCTAAATAACGAATATATTCCATAAAATATAAAAATTACCACCAATAAAGTACCCCCCAAATGTTCCGACTCTGTCCAAAATCTTATCAGTTCATCGCAGGCCGGAATAAAGCTTAAGTTTAAAATTTGGTGTTTTTCTTTGTATCGGTTCATGAGTTATAATGGATACATACATGCGCGCGCGCACGCACGCACACACGCACCCACACACACACACACACACACACACACACACACACACACACACACACACACACACATACACACACACACACACACGCACAGAGAGAGAGAGACACAGAGACACAGAGACACGCACACACACACACACATCATCCCGATAATAGTCAAAACGGATTCAGGGGACCCCAAAACGTAAAAATCCGTCGAAAACCGGAGGTCGAAAAAAATCATGATTCCTATACTTTCCATATATCTGTATACAGTTAGGAAAGTAAAAATAATACTACTAATTTATTGTAAGAATAAATTTAAAAATTTACAAAAATATTTATTAGATTTAGTTGTCTTTATTTTAACGTTGATGTAAAAAAATCAAAGCAATTCGTTCGGTGCAAGTCATTATGACCGTTTTTGTATCATATTTGTGGAGGAGCTAATTCAATACTTATAACTTCGGTGTTTATTAACATTAGTCTCGTTCTAAAACCAAACGATAGCTTATACTTTGTAGAAGCTCGAGGAAGGTATACCTTATTTTCTTTCAAATATTCACTTATTCCCTTCTCGCACCAAAGGACTTTAATTGAAATTACCCAGTTTAAATTAAATTTGAAGTCCACTTAAACAACCTCAGTCTGTCTGAAAAACCATTTTATAAAATATTGTTTTTTAGAAACAAAAATGCGTGTTTGACAAACACAAGACTTTGGTGAACATTACAAGTTGGGCAGTTTTGCCGGCACGGGATGAAAGAGCCTTAGAAGCTGCAGTTGCTAAAGTAGGACCAGTTGCAGCCTCCATAAATGCTAGCCCTCACACATTTCAACTTTACCAGTAAGTATAAACATTGCTTTACACAATCCCAAAGTACACATTGTCGGTATCCTAAACTGAACTAAATTGATTCTTCCTAGCATAAACATTTTGTGTGTGGGATTAAACGGTCCAATAACTCTCCAATTGTAATGATGGACATTCGACTTTTATATATTAAAGGTCGGCATATAAAGGTTACTAAGGCCGACAGTCGGGCCGAAGTCAATTCCAGTTAATGGGCTTTTATTTCTCCTTTAATACCTGTATAATACATTGACAATTAATGGCCTGTTGATGGGAAGTTAACGAGAAATTGCAGGCATTTTACCATAATAATACTGACTGCCGATTAAAGGGCACAGGATTAGACAGGCCATTCGGTAGTGCCAGTAAAATCGTTCGATCTATAAATTGTATACTAAAATTATTACTATTATAAAGTTTAGTTGAGAACGTTACCATGACAAATGTGTGTCTTTTTAGACGCCGTTTACGACAGCCTGATCGTACATGCGATTTATTCTCTTTATACCCAGATACCCTAGGGAGGCCTGCAAGGTATATTTTCTTAAATTATATTTCTAGCTCTGGTATTTACGACGATGCAAGCTGTTCCTCTGATCATGTGAATCACGCGATGCTCATTGTTGGATATACAAACGACTCGTGGATCTTGAAAAACTGGTGGGGCAGGCATTGGGGTGAAAATGGATACATGCGACTAAGAAGACGCAAGAATCGGTGTGGTGTTGCAAATTATGCTGCATATGCTTTAGTTTAATAATTAAATAATGTGTAAAAAATATATTATATATTACTAATTAAAAATAAATTTGTATTGTCCCAAAAATGTTTTTTTTTGTTTATTTAAACAGAGTAGCCGTTAAAACAGGAGAAATTTACAAACGCCATCTATTAACGCATAGACAATATAGGCAACCATAATTATTACGAGATACAGAAGAATGAGGAGGTATTTTAAAAATGTGAATGTACCGATAAATTCAATAACTATTAACTGAGGAAAACGAAAAAAAAAATCTTATATATGTATAGGAAGCAACTGAATTCACCTCCTAAGTTGTCGTGCTCTCTTATATGTAACAAATTTGCATCAAAAACGGGAGACAAAAAAAAAATTATTCATGAAATGAAATCTGAAATCGACGAAAAGTGGACTTTTGAAAAACTTTTGAAATTAAAAAAAATATATTTTTTTAGCATGGGTCGATAAAGCTCCCTACGTACTTCATTTTAGGGTCTGTCCTAGGACCCACTGGTTATTTTGCTCTATCTCTTACCGTTTCCGAGATTTTCGCGTTGGAAGTTTTTGAACTTGAACGGCTCAATATAGAGACGAGTGGCATAGAGCCCTATAATATATCTATCCTGTTCTATATGTGTGCAAATTAACAAAGCAATTGCATCATTAGTTACCGAGAAAAAAAAACATTAAAATTTGTAGATAAAAAGCAACTGAAGTCACCCTAAATTGTCGTGCTCTCTTTTATATATAACCAAAATTGCTTAATAATGAGAAACGTAATTTTTTTTTCAAAAGGTTTCGAGGGCCATACACTTATTACTGCTTATTTTTAGGAAATTAGAAAATGAAATAAATCAGCCTATAGGCTGTGAAATACCAGTCCAAAGAATTAGGTTTATCGTAGAGCAAAACTTTATTAAAATTCTTACAATTCAAAAAAATATGACATTCATGTATATAAGTCAATTGACCATCAATCAATCTTTTTTTTTAAACAAAAACTATCAAAAAATAAAAATAACAAACTAATATCATGTACAGGATGTTACACACTCCCACCTTGTAATTTTAACTATTCTAAAAATTGCAATTTGAGATACAAAATTGTTATGTATTTAGATTAAAGGATTTCGGTGCTACGACTATTCTACCACTACGAGTTTTTATCATTTTTGTTACACCTTTGTCTACGTTATCATTTTCGCATTTGCTATTAGTCGTAGGATCGATATCCATATTATCAGTCTCTAATTCTAATGGAAAAATTCTTTGTACGGGTCTCAATAACTCTCCGGAATTTGTGCGTAACCGAACCAACCTAATATTATCTTTACCCGGATAGACTTGTATAATACGAGCTAAAGGCCAATCTAACCGTTTTTTATTCTCACTTCCTACGAGAACTATCTCTCCTACTTGCAGTTGCCTTATTTTTTTATTATTTATATATCTATGCTTAAACTGTCCTAAGTATTCCATCCTAAACCTTTTCTGTAACTCATAGTATAGTCTTTTTCGATATTTTGCACGTCTATTTAACTGTCTACTGTCGACTATATCACAATCTACAACTCCAACTTCCTTAATGTTTTGAATAAACATTGCAGGAGAGAAATTGGCCTTCCATTAATGACTGCTTCGCAGTCACACAAACCTGTACACATTTCTTCATATTCTAAAGAAGTTCTACCTAAAACCCTTCGTAATAATTGTATCCTTAATTTTATCACTCTCCCACTCTACCATGCAGCAGTGGCTGGATTAAACTTCCAGACTATCCTTTCCAAACCACAACGCTTATTAAGTTTATCCCAATCTAATTTTTTAAAGGTATTGTCTCTCCCCTTAAAATTAGAACCATTGTCGCTGTAAACTATACTGGGTTGTCCTCGTCGTGCAATAAATCTGCGAAAACTTTGAAGGAATACTTCAGTAGAAAGTGAAGATAACATTTCTAAATGAACGGCTCTGTAAACAGCACATGTGTAGAGAGCAATTCATGCTTTGTGACCTGATTTGAAGAAAATTGGTCCAGCCACATGCACTCCAACACCTAACGATTCCAGTTCTCTAATCTGACATTTTAGACGATCATACAGTAAGTAAATGGGTAATGACTGTGAAATAACTAAACTTAGAAGTTGTCTTATGTAAAATTCTATTAGTAGCTTGAATATCTTTAGGATAATTCTCTTCAGTCGGTGGAAACCCTTCAACTAATACTCTGGCTCTTGACTTTGGCAAAGTAGATTGAGCTAATAACGGAAACTTTTCTTCATTGTCCAGGGACGAATCTTCATCTACTTTCTTAAAGAAGAACCAAAAATGCAGCCAATTTTTAAGATATCCACCAAATTTTTTCATTTCTATCAACCTTTCCATTATAACGCTTGGAATGTTTCACAATTTCAAAAAAAATATATCCTGTCACGGTCGCCAAATGTGAAATACCAGTCCGAAGAATTAGGTTTATCATAGAGCAAACTTTATTAAAATTCTTACAATTCAAAAAAATATGACATTCATGTATATAATTCAATTGACCATCAATCTTTTTTTTAAACAAAAACTATCAAAAAATATAAATAATAATATAATATCATGTACAGGATGTTACACACGCTAAGCATATGCAACATCTAGAGCTTAAAAATATACTGGGTTCCTTTCTAGTAGAAATAGTTTAAAAGTCTAGGCTCATTTCTCAAAAATCATCGAAGATAGAGAAAAAAACACCATTCAAACATTGTGAATTTCTTTCTCTAACGCTGTGCCTAGTTATTATTATCCATACCTCCTCACTCTTCAAAAAATTTTATATAAAATTTTTTTCGTCTCCGATTTCACTGAAATTTTGTACAGAGAATCAGGATGTAAAACTAAATGTCGGAGTAGTGTCTGTTACTCAATATCTCTCTTCGTCCAAAAGTTGAAAAAAGTTGCTTCGATTTGGACGAAACGTAGTATGCAGTAAGTAGAAGACAAGTACGTTTGAAGAAAGTCAGTTGCAGTTTTCTAAGTTTGCTAATTATCACAAAACAAGCCTCTACTTTTTAACCATTTAAGTTATGGAGAAACGGATGTTTTTTCTTACCCTTTTAGAGCGCATACTGTCCACTGTTCGAATTTCAGCTCAATCGGACACCATGCATTTTTCACGAAAAATCGAAAGGGTGCCTTCAAAAAATTTTACATAAAATTTTTTTCGTCTCCGACTTCACTGAAATTTGGTACAGAGAATCAGGATGTAAAACTAAATGTCGGAGTAGTGTCTGTTACTCAATATCTCTCTTCGTTCAAAAGTTGAAAAAAGTTGCTTTGATTTGGACGAAACGTAGTATGCAGTAAGTAGAAGACAAGTACGTTTGAAGAAAGTCAGTTGCAGTCTTCTAAGTTTGCTAATTATCACAAAACAAGCCTCTACTTTTTAACCATTTAAGTTATGGAGAAACGCATGTTTTTTCTTACCGTTTTAGAGCGCATACTGTCCACTGTTCGATTTTCAGCTCAATCGAAGACCATGAATTTTTCACGAAAAATCGAAAGGGTTATAGCCTTCAAAAAATTTTACATAAATTTTTTTTTGTCTCCGATTTCACTGAAATTTGGTACAGAGAATCAGGATGTAAAACTAAATGTCGGAGTAGTGTCTGTTACTCAATATCTCTCTTCGTTCAAAAGTTGAAAAAAGTTGCTTCGATTTGGACGAAACGTAGTATGCAGTAAGTAGAAGACAAGTACGTTTGAAGAAAGTCAGTTGCAGTTTTCTAAGTTTGCTAATTATCACAAAAGCCTCTACTTTTTAACCATTTAAGTTATGGAGAAACGGATGTTTTTTCTTACCGTTTTAGAGCGCATACTGTCCACTGTTCGATTTTCAGCTCAATCGAAGACCATGAATTTTTCACGAAAAATCGAAAGGGTATATATAGCCTTCAAAAAATTTTACATAAAATTTTTTTCGTCTCCGATTTCACTGAAATTTGGTACAGAGAATCAGGATGTAAAACTAAATGTCGGAGTAGTGTCTGTTACTCAATATCTCTCTTCGTTCAAAAGTTGAAAAAAGTTGCTTTGATTTGGACGAAACGTAGTATGCAGTAAGTAGAAGACAAGTACGTTTGAAGAAAGTCAGTTGCAGTCTTCTAAGTTTGCTAATTATCACAAAACAAGCCTCTACTTTTTGACCATTTCGGTTAGCGAGAAACGGACGTTTTTTCTTAACGTTTTAGAGCGCATACTGTCCACTGTCCGATTTTCAGCTCAATCGGAGACCATGAATTTTTCGAGAAAAATCGAAAGGGTATAGACTTCAAAAATTTTTGCATTAAATTTTTTTCGTCTTCGATTTCGCTTAAATTTGGTACAGAGAATCAGAATAAAAAACGTAATGTCGGAGTGGTGTCTGTTGCTCAATATCTCTCTTCGTTCAAAAGTTGGAAAAAGTTGCTCCGATTTGGACGAAACGTTGTATGCAGTAAATAAAAGACAAGTACGTTTGAAAAAAGGTAGTTGCATTTCTCTAAGTTTGCTAGTTATCACAAAACAAGCCTCTATTTTTTGACCATTTCGGTTAGCGAGAAACGGACGTTTTTTCTTAACGTTTTAGAGCGCATACTGTCCACTGTCCGATTTTCAGCTCAATCGGAGACCATGAATTTTTCGAGAAAAATCGAAAGGGTAAATTTTTGCATTAAAATTTTTTCGTCTTCGATTTCGCTTAAATTTGGTACAGAGAATCAGAATGAAAAACGTAATGTCGGAGTGGTGTCTGTTGCTCAATATCTCTCTTCGTTCAAAAGTTGCTCCGATTTGGACGAAACGTTGTATGCAGTAAATAAAAGACAAGTACGTTTGAAAAAAGGTAGTTGCATTTCTCTAAGTTTGCTAATTATCACAAAACAAGCCTCTACTTTTTGACCATTTAGGTTAGCGAGAAACGAACGTTTTTTCTTAACGTTTTAGAGCGCATACTGTCCACTGTCCGATTTTCAGCTCAATCGGAGACCATGAATTTTTCGAGAAAAAACGAAAGGGTATATATAGACTTCAAAATTTTTGCATTAAAATTTTTTCGT